AGGGGGACCCTGTAAAGATGCAGCTGATCAGTTAAATGAAGAGCTGGAAGAAATTTTGAAACTTGAAGAAGTACAAATTCAACATTGTGAGTTATTGCTGCTTATTATTGTGCTGTCATAAATAATTATTTTATTTCATATAGCTGTCTCTTTAGAAGAGGAAGCACAAGTAATCCCAAAAACCCCAGAGTCCCATCCAGAGTTAAAATTGGATCCTGAAGCTGAGAAAACTATTTCTAAATCTATCAAAGATTTAAGTAGCTCTTTTAATGCCTTATTAAAAAACCTAAAGAATGAATTGAAAGAGGTTGACATTGCTGATGTAGTGGAATATCTGGAAGAGAATGGTTTAGATTACCTTCCTTTCGATGACCTAAAGACAGCTAAAGACTTTAGAGACTTCATTAATAAAGTTAATGAGCATTATGATTTCCTGGACTGCTCTCTTCTTCAATTAATAGCAGAAGAGTTTGCAACAGATGCTTTATCTGAAAAATTTGAAGAGCATTCAAATGTTGCTGCAGAGTTTCGGGAATCACATACAGTTGATGATCTTAAATATAATTTAACAGAGATATTTAATCCATACCTTGATGATTTTGAAAAAGGGCCCATAGCACGTATAGATCTTAACAATGCCTGGAATGGTGTTCAATTAAGTAGACTCCGTACCCTCATTGGATGCTTCTTTCCTGACATCAAAATAAAAAGGGCCCTAACAAAACATGTTCTAATCAAGTGCAGATCTGTTCACATCACATACTACATGACTGAATCAGCAGATCAAATACAACAGATAATAGCCTGTGCTCGTGAGAGGGTGGACTTTATGAAGCATATTGGTCTCTACCATCTTGCTATTAATGGGGAAGTCATTCTAAATGAAGCCGAGAAAAAAGATTTCAAATTTGAGTCAGCACTACAAGAAGCAGCAAAGGTAGGTGATAGTGAAGCAGTGGAGGTACTCCTTGAAATAGGAAGAGGTACTGATGTGTTGGGGGACATTTCTAAGGCTTTATTTCATGCTTCTAGTAATAATCACTATCGAGTCGTTAAACTCTTCCTTAATGAAGGCGCTAATCCAAATGTTAGAGACACTGATGGGGAATCAGCTATGCATGCAGCTAGCAGGAAAGGTCATCATAAAATAGTCGAGTTACTTCTTAAGGAGAAAGCTGATCCAAATACTTGTTCAAATAATGGTATAACAACGCTTATGTTAGCCAGTTTCAATAATTGCTATCAAGTGATAAAATTACTTCTAAAAGAAAAGGTTAATCCTAATATTCAAACCAAAAATGGGACAACAGCATTAATGCTAGCAAGTCAAAGTGGTCATACTGAAAGTGCAGAGTTACTCCTTAAGGCAGGTGCTGATCCTGACATTAAAGAAGAAGAAGGTTGGACAGCACTCATGATAGCTTGTCAAAGTGACCATACTAAAGTAGCACAATTACTTCTTGAGAATAAAGCTGATCCAAATATTTGTTCAAATGACGGTAGGACAGCACTTATGTCAGCCAGTTTTAATAATTGTCATCAAGTAGTCGAGTTACTTTTAAAGGAAAAGGTTGATCCTAATATTCAAAGCAAAAATGGGTGGACAGCATTAATGCTAGCTAGTCAAAGTGGTCATACT